CCCCGCTTCCGTCTTCCCCTCCTCCAAGCACACCAGGCTCCGCAGAACAACATCATCCTCGCTGAATCGGATGACAGCGACCTCGAGGACCTCGGCGAAGAAGATGTTGATCAGCAGTGGGGAAAGCACACACTCTTGTCGCAGGCCCTGTGCACGAAGAACCAGTCCGATAGTTCTCCGTCGTCCATGCTCACCCGGGCCTGCATTCCATCGTGGAATTGGCGGATGACTTCGATCAGCTTCGCGGGAATCCCGGCCCTGGCCAGCACCTTCCATAGCATCTCTCGGTCCACCGAATCATACGCCTTCTTCAAGTCGACGAAGCACATGTAGAGCGGTATTTTCTTTCTCCGCCCCAGCTCCTGGAGGCGGCGCACGATGAACTGCATATCGACAGTGGATCGCCCGGTTCGAAATCCGCACTATTCCTTCGGGGGGATGTTGTTGGCTTCGCAAAAGGCGCTTAGACGGTTGGTGATGATCTTGATGGGGACCTTGCCTACGTGAGATAGTAGCGAAATCCCCCTGTAGTTGTTACAGTTGGACCGGTCACCCTTCTTGTACAGCACCTTGATGGTTGCATCCTCTCACTCTAGCGGAATATCTCCTCCGTTCCACACCTTGACGAGGATGGTATGGAGGTGTTCCAGGACGAAGGGTTCGTCGTCATCGATCTTGAGCAACTCGGCAGGGAGGGAGTCATGGCCGGGTGCCTTCCAGTTCTTGAGGCTTTTCGTTGCCCGTGCCACCTCCTCGAGTTCTGGCACATCTCCCAACCGTTGAGTGTCACGTGTCACGGGTGGAACACCCTAGAACGTCAAGTCCTGACACAGGGCCTCACCCCTCCTGAATCCGTGCCAAATAGTGGCCATTGTTGTTGGCGTGGCACCATATTCCACCAGAACCATATCCGCATACTACTAAGTGTCACTTGTCCGGAAGTGGCCGATGCCCAGCGACACACGTCCGCGCTGCATGAAAAACTGGTGATAAAACTAGTTGTGGTCCTCTTGCACGTCCCACCCTCCATTGTCATTCTCCTGTCCGCATTGTAGATCGAATATTGAAACAAGTTAAGAATATCGTGTGTTCCCGGTGAAGATCTGCGCTGCCGTACGTTTGCGGTCGGTCGTAAACATACACTGTGGGACGCTAGAGGCTGGGCTGTAGAAGTTTGAAACAAATAACGATTTGGGTGTATTTTTCCGCAGAGACCATGCCGAATGATGTCTCGTATCAGCTAATCACCTTTCTATTTGACTTTAAAGAACGCACCCACCGGGTACTCCATTTTCCGGCAGCATGAGTA